TTTTTCTTCAATATTTAAAAAGTTCGAATAGAATTGGTGATATAGGTGCATCAGGGGCTTAGGTTCTGGTTTAGCAAATTGCATTAATCTCTCAAATTTGACACTTAACCTTTCGGTAAAAACAGTTTATTTGTTTTGGATTGTGATATTTTTAATTATAAAAACTAATTAAAAACAATAAAGCTCTTTTTTCTTTTTCTTTTTCTTTTTATTGTGCTTGCTTTTTTTTGTTCTTTCTTTGTTAATTAAGCTCATCATTTTATTTTCTACTTTTGCTTTTATTATTAATTAATCTTATTATTTCATATTTTTTCCTCATTTTTTCCTTCTAATAAACTATTTAATCATATATTTTTTCTTCAATATTTAAAAAGTTGCAATTAAATTGGTGCAATGGGTGCATCAGGCTTAGGTTCTGGTTTAGCAAATTGCATTAATCTCTCAAATTTGACACTTAACCTTTAGTAAAAACAGTTTATTTGTTTTGGATTGTGATATTTTTAATTATAAAAACTAATTAAAAACAATAAAGCTCTTTTTTCTTTTTCTTTTTCTTTTTATTGTGCTTGCTTTTTTTTGTTCTTTCTTTGTTAATTAAGCTCATCATTTTATTTTCTACTTTTGCTTTTATTATTAATTAATCTTATTATTTCATATTTTTTCCTCATTTTTTCCTTCTAATAAACTATTTAATCATATATTTTTTCTTCAATATTTAAAAAGTTACAATTAAATTGGTGATATGGGTGCATCAGGCTTAGGTTCTGGTTTAGCAAATTGCATTAATCTCTCAAATTTGACACTTGACCTTGGGTAAAAACAGTTTATTTGTTTTGGATTGTGATATTTTTAATTATAAAAACTAATTAAAAACAATAAAGCTCTTTTTTCTTTTTCTTTTTCTTTTTATTGTGCTTGCTTTTTTTTGTTCTTTCTTTGTTAATTAAGCTCATCATTTTATTTTCTACTTTTGCTTTTATTATTAATTAATCTTATTATTTCATATTTTTTCCTCATTTTTTCCTTCTAATAAACTATTTAATGATATATTTTTTCTTCAATATTTAAAAAGTAGCAATTAAATTGGTGATGAAGGTGCATCAGGCTTAGGTTCTGGTTTAGCAAATTGCATTAATCTCTCAAATTTGACACTTTACCTTCAGTAAAAACATTTTATTTGTTTTGGATTGTGATATTTTTAATTATAAAAACTAATTAAAAACAATAAAGCTCTTTTTTCTTTTTCTTTTTCTTTTTATTGTGCTTGCTTTTTTTTGTTCTTTCTTTGTTAATTAAGCTCATCATTTTATTTTCTACTTTTGCTTTTATTATTAATTAATCTTATTATTTCATATTTTTTCCTCATTTTTTCCTTCTAATAAACTATTTAATCATATATTTTTTCTTCAATATTTAAAAAGTTACAATTAAATTGGTGATAAAGGTGCATCAGGCTTAGGTTCTGGTTTAGCAAATTGCATTAATCTCTCAAATTTGACACTTAACCTTGGGTAAAAACAGTTTATTTGTTTTGGATTGTGATATTTTAAACTATTAAATTGAATATAAAACAAATAAGCTCTTTGAATTTATTTGATAGCTTTTATTTATTTAAATTTTTTATCTTTTTTATTCCACTAATATTATTTATTTTATTTATTTATTAATTTAAAGAATAATTTTTAATTTAAAAGTTTATTCTATTTTGATATTTATTAATAATTTACACAAATTTATTATAAAAGTTATAACTCAATGGAAAAATCATAATTATTCAAAAAAATAAGAAAGTGCCGTAAATCAAAAAGATTAGTTGTCTTTCATTTCTAATGATAAAGAACTGGTGAAAAAAGGATGAATAAATATAAAATGTTTGAATAATATTATATATTTTATTATTTAATATTTCGAAAAAGTGTTTTTAACCTAAAATATAAATAGATAGATAGATTTTATTATTGATTTTATATTTATAAATATCATTCATATTTTTGTAATTAAATAAAGTATTAAAAAAAATAAAAAAATTAAATTTACTTAAATAAATTAAATCCTCTTAAGCAAACCCTCTGGTTTCTCCAAAAACGATCAAATAATTTGAAATTTTTAATGTTATATTACATTTTATTAAATTATATAAATGCCAAACTTTTATATGCCAGTTATATTTTAATCTTAAATATTATCCATCAATCAATCATATTTCTATCCTTTTTTTATTTATCATGATTAATTAATTAGATACCATGATTTAAATAAAACCTCAGGGAGAAATCAAGTTTTACTTTTAATTTTAACTTTTATGGTTAAAAAATTTTCTTTTTGTCAAAGAATCAATTTCTACCCCTATATGTGCTAATTATGAATTAGCTAGCAATTTATATATTTTTTTAATTACTTAGATTTTAGAATTTCAACTAGATAGACATTCCATTTTTAAAAAATCAAATAAGATAAAAAGAATATAGAAAAGAAATAGAGAAAGATTCTGATGTATACTAAGACTGTTTATATGACGCATTATAAATTCTAATAAATAAATATTTAGTATGTTGATTTTAATCTTCATCTATATATAATCAGCAATAATAAGAATATTAAATATGTTTATCAATAAATTTTTTTTTAGTTTTCGTTTAGTTACATAGATAGATTTAGAATTTTTAACTTGACTTTATATTTTTAAAAAAACCATAAATACATAGAGAAAGCTTATGGAAAAGGGATTTATAAAAATTGTGAAAAATTAGTTCTAAGACTTTTTGTTTTATTGACGAATTGTATAATTTAATTAAATTAAATATAGCTAAAATTTGATGTTTTGAATTTCTCAAATTAATTGAAATCTTTA